GAGTACATGCCGACCCAACTAAACTTGTTTATGGCTGTTTATGAACAGCGAGGACGCATCTCATAGAACAATAGCTGTGGAAATCATAAACAAATGTAAATGTTGTGGAAATCAAGCATGGCGATAATGATTTTGAGCGAGGCAGAGTCTGGCAAGCATCTCAGAGCAGCATTGCGCTGACACCACCACGACGTTTGAATCCCAGTGAGAGCACTGCAAACCTCTTAAGTCATGAGGTAAACTTTCAATTTACACAATACATAATCAGTTCCTACAACCATAATAAAAAGGCAGTTTTTCTGGCGAAACTCTCGACAGGTTAGCAATAGTTTCTCACGATCACCAAACCCGAGACACAAACGATAATACAAAGTGTATATATACCATAACAAGCACAGTTTCTTACCTTTGAAATTGACGAGACACAATTTTGTCCATAGAAGCGTTGCGCAAATAAAGATACAATTCTGGGATACAATATCCTCACAAAATTGACTGATTTCCACCGAGACGAGAACTGCGTAAGCGTCATCAAAACTCGGATTAAACTCGGGTAATTTCGGGAAAAGTCGGATTTTGAAGGAAAAATGTTAAAAATCAAGGAAAAACACAGTGAAACTTTGAAGAATCGAAAAAATAACTTGATGTGCACCATAGCACCATCAATTTCTGTCTCTGTACCAACTCTGAACTGAATTGGATCACACATGTGTGAGAAAAAGCTGGTAACATGAAAATGTGCACACACATTGCACTGACACGACCCAAATTAATACCCATGCCCGGATCGCAGGTAGTTTTTAGATTAATATTTGTACATATTAATCACCTAATTTGCATAATTAGTTAATTTTCGGATTTTCACGTATATCTCAAGTACTAATCATCACATTTCAATGAAACTTTGTACATAGGTCCTCCAGGACTATGCAGAGACCTGATTAGTTTTGGGGTAAATAATCATGCATATTAATTACCTAATTTGCATAATTATTTAATTTTCAGCTTTTTCACTGATATTTCGAGTACTAATCATCACCTTTAAATGAATCTACACTATGCAGAGAGCCAATTGTTGTTGTTTTTGGTATATATTTATGCATATTAATCTCCTAATTTGCATAATTAATTAATTTTCACACTGATATCTCAAGTACTAATCATCACATTTCAATGAAACTTTGTACATAGATGCTCTAGGACAATGTACAAATATGATCAGTTTTGGGTTAAAATCTGTTCATATTAATTCCCTAATTAGCCTAATAATTCATATTTTTTTGATTCTGATCACATTTCAATGAAACATGGTACATGGATGGTCTGTTACATTGCGCAGACCTTATTAGCTTTACACTCAAATCTGTTCATTTTAAGTTTCTGATTTGCATAATTAGTTTTCAGCTTTTCCATCAATATCTCAAGCAATTTTGAATTAATTTTTACTGTGTCTCTAATACTCTTAAGCACACGGGAGTTCTTTTTAAGCTTTCTTTGATTTTAATATTTAATTTTATCTAAATTGTTCAAATTCAAAATTTTCTTTACAACAACTGTAAAAGTTAGGCTTACAATTGTTCAACAAATTGTTTTTACACTTCATACGGTACTAATATTTGAGCTTATCTTTAAAAATATCATAGTCAGATCTGTTATCACTAGTAATATTTGGATAAAGTTAAGCCACGGGTCATCATGCACAAAAGTTTTGGATTCTTCATAGGCTGCATCAATGATAGAATTTTTTGTGTTTTTTTGTGTTTTTTTACATAATATTCTCCGATAATATTTTGATAACTGAAACGCAAATATTCAATACAAGTGAATACCCGTCTTCTATCACAGTCTCTCCTCCATGTGGAGGGGCTGTGCTTCTATATTCGACGGATTGGATTGTCACAAAATTGTTTCCCTAACAAGTGTCTGCCAAGAAACAATATAATAGGTTGCTTGCACGTCGTAATGGCTTGACACAGAGACAACAAAAGGAACGTAGGCTTAGTTTAGAACACTTGTTATATGACTTATTATACAGTAGAATGCATGGCCTTCGAAATTAGAAGATGATGAAATACTTGCATGAAATAAAACGTGTCAGTGCCGATAGACCTTTAGCTGTTCAACAACTGATTTTCTGTGAACTGACGGCGCTTAAAAACCATGACAATAAAAAGTTAGTTGCAATGACATGTCCACTTTACCTGTATGCTA